GTGTGTGTGTGTGTGTGTGTGTGTGTGTGTGTGTGTGTGTGTGTGTGTGTGTGTGTGTGTGTGTGTGTGTGTGTGTGTGTATATATATATAATTGTTAGGCTTAAGATGTATATAGTCTTCGTTGTTAAGCTTTTAGTTATAGTTGTTAGGCTTAAGAAGTATTTAGTCTGAGTAGTTAGGCTTAGGAAGTATTTAGCCTTAGTTGTTAGGCTTAAGAAGTATTTAGCCTTAGTTGTTAGGCTAAAGAAGTATTTAGTCTTAGTTGTTAGTCTTAAGAAGTATTTAGTCTTAGTTGTTAGGCTTAAGAAGTATTAAGCCTTAGTTGTTAGGCTTAAGAAGTATTTAGCCTTAGTTGTTAGGCTTAAGAAGTACTTAGTCTTAGTTGTTAGTCTTAAGAAGTATTTAGTCTTGGTTGTTAGGCTTAAGAAGTATTTAGTCTTAGTAGTTAGGCTTAAGAAGTATTTAGCCTTAGTTGTTAGGCTTAAGAAGTATTTAGCCTTAGTTGTTTGGCTTAAGAAGTATTTAGTCTTAGTTGTTAGTCTTAAGAAGTATTTAGTCTTAGTTGTTTGGCTTAAGAAGTATTTAGTCTTAGTTGTTAAGCTTAAGAAGTATTTTGTCTTAGGTGTTAGGCTTTAGAAGTAGGACTCTTAAGACTACGGCTGTTATGCCTAACTCTTAAGACTATGGCTGTTAAGCGTCCCGTAAGAACCCCCTCTGTTAAGCGTCCCACTAAGACTCCCCAAGTTAGTATAAGTATGAGTCTGGTAGGAAACTCGGCCTGAGGTGGTTAATAGTTTTATTGTCACCAGTGCCGTATAAAGACCTTCCTACTAGTTGTAGAGTCTGAACTTCTGAAGTATGAACTCTGAACTTCACTGAAGTCTCAAGTCTCAAGTCTCAAGTCATCAGCCTCTCTCTTCACACTCTTCAGAGTACAGACACGCATTCTGAAGTCTGAACTCAGAAGTTTCAACAAAGTCTCAAAGACTCAAACTGACAAGTGACAGCTCTGAGCTCATAGCCTCACTTCCTGTCTCGCGATAACCATCCTATGGAATCAAGGCAAGTTGCATTGGCGCAAAGACGTATGTCACGCAACAACAAACAAATCAAGTTTATTGGTCACCAACTAATTTTAAACCTATCAGTAAAACGACTCCACAGCACAGATTAATTATCAATGGGAAGGCTGGTTGCTAAAATTATTATTTTAAAATGTCACCAGAATGGCCGAATAAGATCTTCTAAAAATATAATTTTCCAAAGGGAGTTGGACAGGGCCGTTCGTTTGTAAATATGTCCATACGTAATGAAAAAATATGTATCTTTACAAATCAATTATCATACAGTATGTATATCTTTTTTGTTGTTTTTTGTTGTTGTTTTTTTTAAACAAAGCGAGCACCAAAATACAAAGGTGTGAGGATGTCCATTTTAAAATCAAATGAATACATATATTAAATAGTGCAAGCGACGGAAGGACTGTCACCATTAATAACCCATAAAACACTGTAATAGTAGCATGCATTCGAGTAAAACAAGCACGATTTCTCTGATTATCCGTAATTTTCACCTCTCCTGGTATATACTGGTATTGAGTTGGGCCGGTACCGCGCTGGCTATAGACAGTAAACAAGGGTTTTCGCCGGATGTTGAAAATGTGTGCAATATCCTTGGGACGATAATCTGGGTTTGGGGTCTGCTATACTGGATTATTTGTACCTGTCTGCTAGCAGCAAGAATTATTGTCTACCCAGAAGCATTTTGGAAGATGATGCAAGAACCGAATGAATTTCCCATATTCGGATGTGTGCCAATGAGCCTAGGAGTACTTGGTATGGGAATTGTCTCATTTGGCCCTAACATCATGCCCGCTAACGTCGCCTTTGAAATAGCGTATGTTCTGTTTATTGTGGTCGGTGTGTTTTCCGTCCTTACAATCGGGGTAGTGCCGTACATGATGATCGCCTATCAGCGGCACGCGCTGTCATCTATGTCTACTGCCTGGCTGCTTCCTTTCATTACGCTTGTGATTGCATCAGCTCAGGCAGGGGTTGTTGGCGGAGCTCAAGAAGATCTAGGGAGACAGAAAGGGTGCTTACTCGCTGGACTGGTGATGTGGGGTGCGGGCATGCTGACTGCTGCACCAATCATTGCGATGTACATGATCAGAATGATCATCTACGGATTCCCCCCTGGACAAGCGGGCAATTCTGTGTGGAGTATACTGGGCCCTATAGGTCAGGGTTGCAATGCCATTCTGATACTTGGTCGCAACACGGTAACCTTGCAGAATGAAGGCGTATTCTGCGATAGTCCTGGATCCATATACACAGACAATAGGTGCACAGGTCCTCTGACTCCTCTCATGGCATTCGGCAGTGTAATGCCAGCGATCGCACTATTAATAGGTTTGCTCCTGTGGGGTGTGGGTATTTGGTGGCTAGGCTGTGCCACAGTAGGAAGCTTTTATCACTCCAAGAAAATACATAGTCTGGTAGCGATGCTGCGCAACCCCTCGACAACTTTAGGTGCACTCAAGGCTTCAAGCTTAGCCATTGAAGGACATTTATCACGCACACGCGATGTCGAGAAAATATTGGGCGGTAAAGTGGACGATGATCTCAAGCAGACACAGCAAAAGCCGGAGATGCCATTCAATCTGAGTTGGTGGGGTGTGGTGTTCCCCTTGGGTACTATCTCAATTGGATCCGCACAGTTATTTATTGAGACACATCAGTCACTTTTCCGGTGGACGGGAGTCACGCTTACATGCATTCTATTCAGTATCGCAATCTACTTGCACATCAAAACAGCTCGCCGAATAGGCAAAATATCTTTCTGGAGTAGCTTTGAACCACAATCGTCGTCATTGGAGACCACACCGGTGAGGGTCTAGTATTACTAGAATCCTTATATAACTTAGTAATTAAATTAAACTTACTGGCATAGTTTTAATAAGCAGTCGCCTGTACACTGTCCGTTGTTTATTCCTATTCATAGATAGGAGACGGTAGAGGGGCCTTGCAATTAGTCCAAATATTTCAACCAGCACTTCGCTTGTTCTTCAACTTAAACTAGAGCTGCATACCAGCCCACAAGGGGTCAGGGTATTGCTCCCTGTCGCCGTATTTATGTATGAATCTTAGCCACCTGTAGCCTCCCAAACAATGATGTAATTGTTTTAGAAGGCTAAGTATGAACCATAGCCTTTTAAAAATTGTAGATATGGCATGACCATCTAGAATGAAATGTATAAATATGAGGGAGAACGGACGAGTCCGCAGGACGATATGAACCATAGCCTCCTAAAACTATTTACTAATAGGAGGCTATGCTATGTATGAACAATTGAACATAAACCCTAAACCCTACTATGGACACAGGGAAAAGAAAACCTGCCATTTCCTGAAATCATGGAAATCAGGAAACGTTCAGCTGTTGACAACTTGACAACTTGAAATGTTGCAGAGTGGGAGACTGAGAGTTGTTCATCCCACGATCACACTATTTTTATTTTTATATTCCATTTTTGGATTTCTATCTCTGAAATGTAAAGGACTGTGTCCGATACTGCGATAATCCCATAGTCGCTTGTTGATGTCAGCACCAAGTCGTTTACATACATGTTCTCGTCTACTCTGCACAACACCTTTCGCCTGGCCGTACCTTGGAAACGTACATTTATTCCTAAACTCAGTAACTCGCACGACTGTAGATCATATTCACTATACAGTCGGCACAATATGAGCTTCACCACACACCGAGATGGAAAAGGCACCATCACGGTAGCCCCAAAAAAGGCAACCGACCAGAGTGCATTAATTGTGATTACGCATGGGCTGGGAGATAGCTCTGAGGGGTTTGTCGATGTCGCTGAGGTAAGCCTGTGCATATACCATCCAAGTGTGCGTTTGATGGTTCTGTGAGTTTTGCGGAATGCTTGATTGGATATATATGGTCTGATTTTCAACGCACATTAACCAGTATCATTTTGACTTTCCGTTTAACACGTAGCGTATATAT